TTGGCAACCGTGGCTTGACTTTGATGTGTAAATCCACTTTCATCTTGTCTTATTTAACCACCTGAAGTCACCACCATAACTGTGGTAAACGTTCATTTTTCCTCTATTAAAGGACTACATCCTGCCTGGTGACCCCTATAACTCTCCAGACCTTATTGACCTCATCTCATTTCATCTTATTTGTAAGCTTTGACCCGTGGTAATACACAATATGGACGACATGTTTCGCTGTTGTTCACTCCAAATGATCCGTGCACTACGAACGAAGGGATCCCCGACCTAAAAAACGACAACAACAAATGCTACGCACGATATTACATTGGTTCGGATCTCAGCCTAAATCCCTCAATCACAACGTCCGCCACGGGGCTGTCTAGAAGCCGAAATAATTCGTCGCAGTAGTGCTACGACGCTGTGATACCCAGTTTGATTGCGCACCCGCAATTTGTCCGCTTCCTACTTTGACCACGCCCTCTCGCACACTCGTTCCCTTACCGGCAACCACAATCAGTCTTCATTTGTCACCAGCCACCACCGGGAGGCGTTCATTGCAATCTGCCGAGCCCCATGTCGGATGCAAAGATTTTGGCGACTTTCATTCGTACTCCTCACCAAGTCAGTCAATTTTCGTACAGTTTGCTTGAACTCGTTCTCCCAAGTAACTTTTACACTCGACCCCGCTCCAGCAGCAAAACCAGTGAGTCGATCAAGTTTCACTGCACACTGTGGTGCTCAGTTTCCTACTACCATTTGTCCGTACTGCATATTCTCCACTTCGCCATCCCCACTTACTCTTTCCGTGGCCATATGCCCAACAGCCCAAGGCCATTAAGCCCCAGTGACGGTTTTGGGCTTTAGTTCAAATTAGCAGGCCATGTCGTGGCAGTTCTGCTGCCTCTCCAGATCCATCATTCTGGCTCCAAACTTCCTGCAGTTTGAGGTTTTTTGTCACGTTCCATTCAGGAAGCTTTCTGTTATCCCCTCACTCGTATTGTTTTTGCCCGCCACTTTCAAATGCTAACGATCATATCTTGTGTCATCTGTTATGTTTTCCATAGGCGATAAAGGGGCCTTGTAATTTTGGATCCTTACCCATGCCACCTCAGGTGCGATGAAGTCTACTTCGTTAATGCCCACTGTTTATGTCACCGCCCCTTTTCCAGGAAAATCCCATTATTCGCAACTCCCATGCTCTTATTCTGACTGTAATACTAGGATCATCCCCGACGGTAGCTACCCACCAGTTTGGAAAAAATATCATTATTATTATGCTTTCGAATGAATACAAAATCAGCCTACTCTCCCACGCTAGAATACCAAAATGCTCTCTTATCTGTGTCAGCGACCTTCCATATGCTGTTGAGGTCTATGTTAACATTTGGCAGATGTTCTGACACCTTGCAGCAAAAGCACCACCGCCATCCGCACGGATGTCGACGCTACAAAGTGATGCTCAAGAAAAAATATCATTATTATTATGCTTTCGAATGAATACAAAATCAGCCTACTCTCCCACGCTAGAATACCAAAATGCTCTCTTATCTGTGTCAGCGACCTTCCATATGCTGTTGAGGTCTATGCTAACATTTGGCGGATGTTCTGACACCTTGAAGCAACAGCACCACCGCCATCCTCACGGATGTCGACGCTACAAAGTAATGCTCAGTTGACTGGCATCCTTAGACAAATTACAGAAAATACACCCTTTATTCGTTCGGGTGAAACTTATCACACTGTGGTATACGGCGTCGGAGTGAACCAAGAGAAATCACGGGGCTAGGTAACAACGATGGTATAGTTATCTGACTCTCTTCACACCTGTCATTATAACGTCAACGCAAAAAGCTGGTTCAGAAGCCATTCCTTCTTCAGATGACTCAGTTGACCTTTTCATTTATTAGTGACATGAACGTTTGGGTGGTCTGTGCAGGGTAGGTCAAAGCGCTCCTTGAATAGACGAACCATATTGTCCACGTATTTCGGAATAACCAGACGAACTAGAAATCCAGAATTAAGCGCAGCGTAACAAGTAGCATGTATGTTGTCGAATTGGCATATATGAACAGCATATGGAATATTAAAACAAGAGAATAATGAACAGAGCAATGAATGGAGTATCAATCATGTTCACCACATCCGCCACACCTTGAAATAGCGTGTGGATGTTTATAGTTCAGTGGTTGTCTTGATCGCAATCTTTCGGATCTTCTCGAAATGGGAACTTCATATTCTTCACAGGCAGTGCGTTCTTCAGATAAATCGTTTTGTTCGGATATCATAAGATGATTTACAAATGACTCATTAGTGTTTGAAACAGCAGGAGTGCCGTTAATAGACTGACCTTTTGTATTGGTCTCGACCTGGTGAATGTGTCTCTGGTTACAAGAGAGGTCAACCAAATCGAGAATTGCGACCATCCGTTTATCATTTGACGATGTATGCAGAGAAGAATACGTTCCGGAAATCAATTTACTAGCCTGCAACACAATTTTGATTCAGGTAACGTTTGAGAAAAGCACCGCCGCCGTATAGTATAAGTTGAAGAGATTCTTTGTCTATTCACTCATACGTCCATTGTAAACCCTCAAACGACGAATAAGGAAATATCTCTCTGTTTGGTATAACTACGCTGAGTGAAAACCTTGGTTTGTTTATTCAACAACTTGCTTGACTCACCACCGTCCTCTGTGATTGTATTGCGATCATTTTGTATTAAAAAGGGGTGTGAAGAAACTATAAGCAAAATGGAAGTTCAAAAGACGTAAGAGAGGCGCAGGATAGAAGTTCTTGTTTCTATTTTCACTATAACCCTTTGTTCTTATCCGCAGATTCCGTACCTTCAATCACATGGTGTGGATTCACCAAGCCCAGCGAGACGGCCGAAAACTGTGCTAATACTGGTCAACTACCGTCACGCTAACCAGGGTTCCCGGCCGTCCATCCTATCTTCCTAACCCGGAATTCAAAACATGCATATAGTGGACCACTACAGGGACCATGCACCCTGGAACGCACCCAACATCTTTCTCGCTGATTTACCTTCAATCTACGAAGGGGACTTAAAACGGCTAGTTCCTTCCGTCCATAGGTCAACGCCAAATTCAATAAACATTATTCCTTTTCCCGAAACATCGCAGCATCGTCTGCCTTCGCTGGCCGATGTTTAATGAAGACAAGCTACAGAATGTCCAACAGAATCTTGCAACGCATCTCACACCATATCCTAACCAGCAACTTTGTCCCTGTTCGATGCTGTCATCTCATCTATGCTTATCATGTCCTTTAAAATCCTCCTCAAGAAGGCTTCAAGCTAACTCATCAGAGTAAGTATTTGCGCAACGTCTTCAGAAACTTCTCCTTGTAAATGGAGACTCTATTCTCGAACGAAGCTCAGGAATTTGCCACGCCAGCTCCTTGTTTCTTCACATTGAACAAGAGATGATGCAGTCATTCTGCCTCTGTTTTTCTCTGATTGAAAACTTTATCCGCCTTCAGTCCCGAATCGAAAGATAAATGAATTCGAAAGCCAGGTCTGACCCATCATTTTTTAATCACCTGTAGAAAAATCGCAGTTTGGTTAGTTCATATCTGCCATATGAACATATTGAAGCCATATTTTTGACTTATCATAAGCACTCAATCGCGTCCGACACGTTCCGCAGCTTCAAAGACGGTCTTACGGGATTCAATGGAAAAGACCCCACTGGATTAAAGCATTCTTATCGAACAGAACAATCCGATTGAAGGTTTGCTCAGCCTGCTCTTCTACGGCGTTGGTCTCTACTGGAGTTCCCCAAGGTTAAGTTTTGGAACCACTGCTGTTTCTGATATACGTTAACGACTTTCCGGATATTGTTGAGAGCCGATGTTAAATTTTTGCGACCAACCTCAAATCCTGGAGTTCCGGTGCCAGTGTTCCCTAACTGTGTGAAGACGCTGTACTGCAGTGGTCATTAGGCTGCCAGCTTCTTCTGAATGAATAGTGTGTCCATATGTCATCCGGAGGGGACTCAGCGAACGTTATTGTCCTTTGTGGTGTTAACGGATCAAAAGACATCACGAGGATAGTTACCAAAAGGGATTCGGGTATCTGGCTCTCTTCAGGCTTGACCTTCTCACTGCATCATGGGAAATCGGCCCAAAAGGCATTTGCTATTCTGCGGATGATTCGGCGAACCTTCTACCGTATTACTCGCAAGGATTTCCAAATACTCCATGAGCCTAACGTCAGACCGCTTCTTGAATATGCCAACCAGGTTGTCTGCTCAAGACGTGAGCCGAATGTTACCCTCATTGAGCGTGTCGAGTGAGCTGCTACGGAAATGGTTGCAGCTCATAAACCCGTGGATTATGAAGCGCGGCTCGTGGTGCTTGACCATTTCCCCCCGGAGTATCGTTCTCTCCGAGGAGACCTAATTCACATTTATTTCCTGCGTGAACAGGATATTGCCAACAGGTTTTTCGACCGCTGACACAGCTAACACACGGGGGGATATGGTGAGATTTCGAGCGCAGGGTGCACATTTACGTTAGGCAAACTTTTATCATTTCGGGTAATTGCTGTGCGGAATGACCTTCCTCTGGCGTTTGTCCACGCTGCACGTGAAACTCACTTTAAAGCACAGTTAAACAATTTTCTTGCGAGTCCTCACTCTGACAAGCGTACCGCCTCACGCTACACCATTTTTTTCGCTTGCACCTTTTAGGTGAACGGCGGTCGCTGAACTGAACAAGGCCGACCCGTGAAACTTGGGCAAAAGCGACGATCCTCTGTATCAATCCGTGAATCCGTTAAAAGCATACACTGTTCGTCCTACTTTTCCTCTGCTCAACACCATCGTAGTTCCTTTTCACTGACCAGAAGTGATAATCATCCATCTAAAAGCCCTTAGTTTTCTACTCGCATATTGCAGCTGTTGTGCTAAGAAGCTACCGTTTTGCTGTGTCCTCAAAAGTGCTGAAAACTGTTGAACCAATGAGCGACTAGTATTTACGGCACGCAGTGGTCGGGTCTCGCCGAACGCTTTCTCCCGGAGGTCGCCGAAACAATGGCAGGGAAAGTCGTGAAACAGTTAGCTGGAAGTGGCACGGGACAGAGTCTCTCAGACATAATGACAGCAATGAAGCACACGCTATCGGGATCCCTTATTGCTAAGATAATCTGCAAGGCAACTACTGAAGAAATGATATCACCCAAACGGAAACATCTAGCATGTAAGACCCTATTTCAATTGTATCACCAATTTCCTTCTAGATCTGGTGCAGTGTACCTTTGAGCCAAGGCTGTCAATTCCGGATTTCGCAAATTATCTCATCGGTCGAACACAACACAGTAACCTGGTTGTCGTTTTCAAGGCGTTTATCACAATCCACCACCTTATGCAATATGGACACGAGGTAATTAGCGCACTGCCATTTTACAAGTACCGTGGCTTCGCATTCAGCGCACTGTTTTATCCAAGCGCAATACAGAATCATGCTCATCTCGGTTCACGTCGAACGCTTCACTGACATTTAGGGTCTTTTTTTGGTAAATTTGCGTCTAGAATAGCCCGATCTCCGGAGTGTCTTTAAAGAGGAAGTTAGAACGGAGAGACTTTCCTAGCTCGTGGAAAGACTGTCTAATTGCATTTGCCTCAGAGACGTCTGCTGGGGAACGTCATTAACAGGAAGATTGATGGACTCCATGCAGACTGTATGCTCACTTTTGCCGACTTGACAAGGCAGGAATTTAATTGCGTTTAATGGAGGGAAAAACCTTTTCCTTCACTTTATTGGATCGCATTTGTTACCTATAATTGGAGGTTGTAATAATAGTAATCCTTCAGCTGTAGCACCCTTTCGATGCCTAGCTGCCATGCCACACGAAGGAAACATGAGGGCTGAGATACTGCCAGGTTGCCCAAGCCTAGACAGGGGAAGTCGAGAGGCAGAGGTCAGGTTCGAACAACGGACCTTCCGGTCAGTAAATTCGCGCTCTAACCACTTGGTCCATCTCGCAGGGAATAACCTTACCGTAACTCTTAGTTCTCACTATAGTCCGGGTGTAGTGAGTGGGAGGAAAATTCTCGTGGGTGTTTCGGTGCATTTCAGTTATTCCACTACAGAGTAATATGCAACACTAACCAACTGATCATGTTATTGCCTACAATGCTTGATTATATCTTGTACGTTCTTCAGTTTACCGGTGACCGAAACTGTAGTAGCTTGAACCAATGTACCGTTGGCAAATGGTTTACGGCTGGTAAATAACTGTACCAGATACGTTGGACTGAAGTCGGCAAGTTAGCTACGAGAGACTCGCCAACTTCTTTGAAGAGAGATGAGGTGAGAGAGAGGTGAGATGCAGCGTTCAATGGGATTTGCAAGTCGCCCCAAAAATAGATGGTTTCACGGGTTTTGAGCATGGTTTCTTCCACCTTTTTCATCCAGATCACCGTTTGAGTCCTGAACGCTTTTCAGTGAACTTGTTTCGATACGGTTGGGCTAAAAAGATATGCAGGTAATGAAACGAAAGACTTTGAGTCAACCAACGTTATTCAGAGAGGCACACGTGCCAGTGTAATGCTGTGGTCAGAGTCAAGTGGACAACAATCTAGTATCAAATTTCTTCACCGGTGGCTGTGCGTGTATTTAGGGGACGCAGCATACATCGATCGCGAGGGGAAACGTGTTCTAAGTATATGACACCTGTTACTCAGTTCGACACGGATACTGAGCTTAGCAATGCGGGCGAATTCTTTGAGTTTACTAATGACCTATTTTGGTTTATTTACTGGGAAGAAGTACGGAGTAACGGTTGGGGGATTCAGAGTTAAATGAATCGAAAAGACCTGGGTTAGTGATGCTTCCTTGACTGAGGAAGTAGGGCTTGGTGTAGTTAGCTCACATTGAACCTTTGAGTCGAAAGTATGGCCAAGAAGACTGGGAGGATGTGGGGATTTTCTAAACCTTCCCTCGGTGACTGTCGGCTGGTGTGAGCGTTTTATGCAGTTCGATTCGCTACTTTTATAATTTCTTTCACAAACAATTTATTCCGAGTCGAAGGGCAGGTCTTCGCTTCACCGTGGGAAATTTAACAGCAATGCACACCTATTAAGACATGGTCAAATTTTGTGCGAGTATTCCAAGAAAAACGAGTGTTGAACATACAATCGCCCTCAGTGGTTGGTCGCTTTTGTCGAACTGTGCTAATGGTTAACTTGAGTTTGGTGATGCGCTGACAACTGTATGAAATTTTTTATGCAACTTTGTGCTTGCAAAAAACATGCCACGGTTGGGCACTTTCAAATGAATCGGCGCCACTGTCTTTTTCAACACGAGAGATGAGACATAAAACGTGCTGGTGCTACCACTGGCTAGGGTTGACATCCATATTCTTCACCTGATGGCGAAGGTTTGAAATCCCGAAATAGTACTTATCTTTGTCGGCGGCCGCACCGCGGTTCGTCGGGGTGTACGCAAAGGTTACGAATCAGGTACACCTTCCATCTAGTTGCTGGTGGACCGTACCGCACACAAGCTGCTGTTACCGGGAATCTAACCTTGACATCACAAGACGATCTCACAATCATCGGATAGTTGAGTTGGGTTCTTCTTGACTGTTTCGAAACGCATTACTCTGGTCAGGTATTTTGATGCGCACCACACGTCAATATCCAAGTAGGATATAGAATTAGGTTGGTCTGTTGACCTGGTCGGACAGAATGCTGTCAATACGGACGTGTGAGTTGGCATAAACGGATCATGTTTACCGTTTCGTATCTGAGGGTCTTGAAACGGAAATTTGAAAGTGTTGCGCGTGAGCGGAGAATGAAGATAATTCAGTTTGACCACTGATGAGAAGAAAAACGACGTCCAGTTTATCATCATGGACAGCACATCGGTATTCAACACTCATACTTCGCTGCCGTACAACCATGATTTATATGAAAGCCTTATTGTGAAGATGAGCATAAAGGCGGATAGGGAAGTCACTTGGACTTACTTTAATCATTTCGAGGCGCCTACACCTCCAGACACTCATTCAGGCAATCTCAATAGAAACTAACAACAAGGACGCCACTGACATCGGTTGGCAGCGATATCTTGTAATGCCTCCTACCAGGCGCACTGGGGATCAAGCGGTCTCCATCCTGGAAGGCGAGTAGCACCCAAGCGTTTCGTAATCTCCTCCATATACCTCTGCCAGGTCAAGGATTGGTCACCTCTGCTTCCTCCACTCTAATTTGGGCATGGAAAACAGCAAACAATGGTTCGGCATGCGCAACACATGTCACAACAAATGCAGCTTCTAGTGCTGGACACAATCCTCAAAGGAAGTCCCCACTGCACAACCTGAAACTCGGGTTCTAATTATCTCGTTACAGATTCTCCGACACCAACCCACACGAGCTACGGCTCTGAGAGAACGATTTTGGAACACCTGAAGACGTGTCAGTTCCGCTGCTTAAACAGGCCAAGTCTCAGAGCCCTACAACAAATAGTCCGTAATGTAGCCAGATAGACACTTCCCTTGAGATTAATGGACGTACCGTTTTGACGCCGTTGGCATCAAACAGGAACCAACTCTTGCGGTGCATTGACCCCATCTGAACTAGTAAAATTTCCAAGATAAGTAAAATGCTCCAGAACTTCCAGCGCCTCTGGATTGTAGGTGATATGTTCAGTGACTTCATATCTAGGAGCATGACCTTGCACCTTGTGAGTGCAAAGTACATACCAAACGGCGGGATGACTTTCGTTATTGCATCCAAAAACACCTGCGGCTTCTCTTCGAAGACGAGAACGATGTCGTCTGCATATTCCGGATTGACAAGGTTTTCGTCACAGACTATTTGAACACCGGGGTTTTGGAGAGCTTCCAGCGTTCGTCCCATTAGCTCATCGATCACGAAATTTAATAGGGATGGAGAGAACGGGCACCTTTGACTTCACCGCTCTGTGCGGCAACTTTTAGTAAGCTCTCCGTATGCTTTCACATCCGGAAGTCTGGAAATACCAAGAATAACATCCTGTTGTCTAAGCCGAAGAGCCCGGACCAATAGCTGCTACTTTGCTGTGGTGGTCGGCCTTCAATGTCGTAATGATCCTCTAGGCTGAACTTGCTGAAACGTTAACTATACCAGGAGGGTCAAAGAAGACCAACTGGACGAACAGTAGTGCTGGATTAGGAGCTACTGCAGGACACCGGAGGAAAAATTTACCTTCTACTCCTGCCTTATAAGTTAGAATTAAGTCAACCTCAGAACGAGCCACCTCAAACAAATTCCCTGTTCGCTATCGAGAACCGGTGGTGCGAGGTCGAGGGCTACTTTCCTCACCTTAGTCAGCTCCAAATCTGATTAATGCCCATGTCAATGCGACACCATCTGTATGAATTCAGCTTAGATTCCCGATACTTTACTTAGAAAGGCAAGATATGAATGTGTGACACTAACCAAAGGATCTGTCTAACTTGTCGGCGTTTAATATCCATTTTTGTCAGGTAGGTCAACAGGCCTTCCTTGCTCATGCCCTTTTTCGTAAAAATCAAGATGCGCTTTGCTCCGAGGCACCCATACAAGACCATATCTTAGTATTAGTATTTTCACGATTTACCCCCCGATTCAAATGACCCAGAAGAGCCAATCCGTGGTCTCAATGATATGGGTGTTGCGTTGACTATGAGAGCGGAAGATGCTTTGCCTGACAAGATTCCCGTGGACAGTCGAGCACATGCAGTCAGACGGACTCGATCTGTTGAGATTAGCAACCAGCGACCAAAATCAGAAATCTTTTCGTCATCTCCGCGTACATTCCAATAAACTGCGATAGTGATAACTGTCAAACCTGCTTGTATGGGAAGCTTTCGAGGCTCTGGCAGGTGGTCAAATGCCCGAATATCCCTATTCTGGTAGGCGGTTTGAAGACCCAGCAACAATCGACAAAAATGAGTCTTTTTGGTCAGATATTTAGTCTACCTATTTCCAGATTCGACATCGGTGACCGTTTTCTACAGCTGTGCGCCAATCATATATTTTTCGGACATCACGATACCTGGCGCCTTCTGAGTAGTGACTAGTCAAGCATTCCTATTGATTACTTGGCAGTAATCATCCCACAATGAGGCCACGGTCTAATTGGAAATGGATCCTATGTTGGGGGGCGAGATGGACCAAGTGACTAGAGCGCGAATTTACTGACCGGAAGGTCCGTGGTTCGAACTGATCTCTGCCTCTCGACTTCCCCTGTCTAGACTTGGACAATTTGACAGTATCCCAGCCCTCGTACCTCCTTCGTGTTGCATGGAAGCTAGGCGCCGAAAGAGCGCTACAGCTGAACGATCCTACGTTGATCCATATTCCTGATTGAGGCGAGGTGGGTTCAACCGAGACGACAATACAAGATCTCTGGGATGACGCAGTCTCAGGAGCGAGCGGGCAAAATGGTAACCAAAGAAAGTACAAGAAATGGAAAAAATGACGGTTGGGATTGGTCGGGCGATTTCGCTTGCCCGAAATGCCCAGGTAACTATCAACGTACCGTCTGCTTCGCACCGGGACATGAAGTACTCGATTCCCAGAAGATTGAGTAAAATACTAAGCGACCTGAACTTTTCCTGGCCTTGTTTGTTAATGCAAGGGAAGGACTTGTTCACAGTGTGACAAAAACCTGTGAAATCATTTTGAAAGCGGATCTCTCGTCGCTCCTATCTTCAAAAATGTTAGACTTGTATGTGAGGAGCATCAAGGTATCATCTTAACCAGTCACCTGTGAGTGGCTCCTAAGTACCATACTTCGCAGATGTATTACCACTCGCGAGAGACGAAGTCGTGAAAACTATGTAGGATTGCGTCCGGGTCACGGACACATTGACCACGTGTTCACCTAACTACAACCTCTGGAACACCGCCATACATGCGGAGGACTGATAGTTATTGTCTTCCTAGATGTCAAAGCAGTGCTCGAGCCACTTGATAGTGGTGTTAATTATCGGGTTTCAGTTGCTTCTCAATCAGGAATAGCTATAAAAGAGTCACTGCTAACTATCCCTTGTCACATTCACCATCTACCTTGGAGAACCGGATGGATGTGAAATTTGACCATGTACAGGCGAAGTGTAATATGGTTCGCATCACCCACTCAACAGAGCGGCATTTTCGACATCTGAGTTTTTTTCGTGAAGAGTAGAGTACTTCACTAACAGTAAGAATCCGACAAGGATTGTACTATCACGCGTTGCGCAACCTTTCTTTCTTACGGTCATTAGCTCCGCTCCTTATTGCAGTTGTGTGACATTCCCAACATCGACGAAACCAAACCATCCATCAAGGCAAGCAAATTTAGTGAGGTCTCCTCAGCCCCAATAACCAACGATCCTTGCCAGCGCAAGGTCGCTTGCTACCTTTGGGGACGGGATGGTAAATCAGCCACAATGGGGGGTGTGTGCTGTTGCTGGGCTGTGTAGCCTAACGCAGCCCAACGACTGGATCACGCGTCGTTCGCGTGACCTGATAGGTTGCTTTGTTTGGTTGGCTGACAGTGTCTGTTCGTCACGTTGTCATATGTTTCACCCACCTGCTTCACGTCATGAACCCGCTCAATGTACCGCCGGTCCAACTCGCTCTCTGCGTTCTGTCTGCTCCAAGTGTCCCAAGCAAACAAAAGAAACACGGCCACATCTCGTAGATTAGCGGTTATAACACTCGTCTAGGACCTGCTCACATGAAGTAATGTGTGCTGTAAAAGTTGCATTGGAGAAGCTTAGATTTATTAGCTAGATACGTACTCTGATCATTGCCATTTGATTATCAATATTGTCTACTGCTTGTACTTTATTAAGATCTCGGTTCTCAGTTAATATAGATTACTTTGTAGTTTATACTATTTTTTCCAGCGTTTTTCGCAGTTTATCGCTTCAAACAACTGCCACTTCTATCTGCCTAGTTTGAGTGATCGGAATACTTTTCAAGGTAAGTGACATTTTTTACTATTTTCGTCAGCAAACCTAACTCAACCAACTCTGCTAAATCTCTTTGACACTTCCTACGCGTTTTCGCATTCCAACGTGGACAGTCTATTACTGATGTAGACATATACTGATATGCCCAGTACATAAAAGATATCTCCGCAGGCTCGGGTCTTGAAGAGCACGGTTTTGGAGTACAGTTATAGTGAACTTGGCTGGTGATGACAACTGTGTGATTGGGTTTGAAGCCGAATCTATGTTGGGTTCCTTGCTTTGGTCAACAGAAACGAAGGATGTGCCTGAACGACAAATTAGTAAGAAAGGGAAATCTTGGGGCTCACAACTGACTGGGACTTGTGATTACCTGCACCTTTTTCCCGCTGGTTTCACCTAGATTAACTTCTAAATTTACGTGGAGGCCGGGTTTGCAGGTAGTCTTCTTCAATCCAATTTTAT